CAGCCCTTATGTCTCCTGGTGACGTGGCAGCTATGCACCGAAAAGGCATCACACCTGGCTGATTGTTTTTGTTTCTCCATGGAAAGGTAGCCCATTGATGTCCTTCCTGTTGTCAGTTTCTTTCCAGATTGTCTGATTCAGCGTCCGGGGGTGTATGCGCCTAAGAATGCGTGTACTAAGCTAGCACTAGATCGCTCTCATTCACTTTTTCCTATTTTTTCATTTAAAGACCGTAGATATAGTTAAACAAACTGTTTGTACAGCAACCTAACGTCAGTCAACATTGATCTACTGTCGCTGGCGTTGTCGATGATGGTGATCCTAGAAGAGTCCCATGCTACTGTGGCTGTCAGCAAGCTTAGCTGTGTGAAGGGATTAAGGCCGCAGTTGTATCCGAAGAGACACTTCAGTCAATTGTATCGAAATTGTTGTACTCTTGCCTTCAGGTTCATTCATTCGTCACCTACAATGACGACAACGGGTGAATGCTGGACATCAGGGTGATTGTTTCACTCTTCGGGATTTCGAAGTTTTCTGGGTTGATTGGGACAATTATCAGTGCTTGATTTATGCTTCTTACCGTCCTGAACCTTAACCTGACTGGAGATACTACGCAGCCTACTGGCGTGCTATCCGGCCAGTCTATGCACTCCTTGGGTTTGATGTTCATCCCACCATCTACTGACATTAAAGTGTGAGTTATCTTCGCCCGTAAGCCGTGGACTGTGCATTCTTCTATGTTGCCAACACGGTGTACTGAATCAGGGTCCGTACCGGTGGCAGCTCGAGCCCCACTCAAGGTGGGAACACCGGTACTTGTCCGTGCTTATCGCCCGGGACGCGATGCGTGGAATACAGGTCGTACCCTGCGCAAACGCGGTAGTGTGATGTACGACGTGTCGATCGGTCAAGACACCTAGACCAGACATCAAAACCAACTCCGCCTTAACAGCACGCCGGAAACTCCAGTATGTTCGGGTACCGTACCGTCGGACATATTGGTCGATACTTTTGAGCTGGAAGCTTCGAAAGAGTATGACCAGCATCTCAGTGCCTGATCCAGCACTTCCTCCCAGGCGGTGGACAGACCGACGGCACCGCCGGCGGGAACGTATTCAGGTCGACCGCCGTCGAGTGTGTTACTGACTCTTCACAAGGGGAGGTGTTGGGGATATCAATATCCCCAAAAACTCTATTTTTTGTGTATTTACGGACTTCCGGCATTTTTCAAGGTCAAACTATATATATA